AGACCCCGTCCAAGTTTCACCCCCCCCGTTCCATGTGCGGTTGTTAATAAAAAATACGTTTTTGTTCATTATTGTTTCCATCCTCTTCTTTTAGATGAGAGTCTGTCTGAAGGGGGGGGAAGGGGCTTGGTAATTGGACAGGACAGTCACCTTTAGCAGGGGGCAGGTCCAGCAGCAGGGCACATATACAGTGCAGTGACTAGTTATCCTGGTCAGTCTGGGAGGTGGTTTTCATGTTCTGTGTGGTGGGGGGGGGGGGGGTTGCTCTGTGACTTGGTGGCGGGGGAGGGCAGTTACAGATCTTATGCAGCGGTCCTTACCCTGGATCACAGAGCCGCGCAGCAGGGGATCTGTAACCCTCCTCCCCCTGCAAGACAGTCACATAGCCGACACATACACGCAGTCCCGGCCAGGAGGGCTGGCAGGCTCCGTTGAAACAACCAGTCCACCACCGCGCAGCCTGTCATTCCTGGAGTTTAGAAGCATCATTTGCATCACAACACTAAACCCGCCCCCCGCCACAGTCTGCGTCCCAGGTTTAAAACATTCCCGCGAAAACAGTAATAAAGACAACGGTGTCCATTAACAAAACAGAACAGATTTTATTTTTTGGGAAGGGGGTGAAGGGGGTATGTAACTGGAGAGGATAGTCGACGGCAACTGGGTAAAGAAACGGGGGCAAGTTCAGCTTCTGTGTCCACAAACTTAAAAGTCACTGGGTACCCTGCTCAGCCTTGAAACTGGCTTTCAAAGCCTCCCGGATGCACAGCGCGTCCCGCTGGGCTCTTCTAATCGCCCGGCTGTCTGGCTGGGCGTAATCAGCAGCCAGGCTATTTGCCTCAACCTCCCACCCCGACATAAAGGTCTCCCCCTTGCTCTCACAGAGATTGTGGAGCACACAGCAAGCTGCAATAACGATGGGGATATTGGTTTCGCTGAGATCACAGCGAGTCAGTAAGCTTCTCCATCTCCCCTTGAGACGGCCAAAAGCACACTCCACCACCATTCTGCACTTGCTCAGCCGGTAGTTGAAGAGTTCTTGTGCAGTGTCCAGGGCCCCAGTATAGGGCTTCATGAGCCAGGGCATTAGCGGGTAGGCTGGGTCCCCGAGGATCACTGTAGGCATCTCCACATCCCCAACAGTTATCTTGTGGTCCGGGAAGTAAATGCCTTCCTGCAGCCGTCTAAACAGACCAGAGTTCCTGAACACGCGAGCGTCATGAACCTTGCCCGGCCATCCGACGTAGATGTTTGTAAACCGTCCCCGATGGTCCACCAGTGCTTGCAGCACCATTGAAAAGTAGCCCTTTCTATTGATGTACTGGCTGGCCTGGTGGCCCGGTCCCAGGATAGGGATGTGAGTCCCATCTATAGCCCCACCGCAGTTTGGGAACCCCATCGCAGCGAAGCCATCTATGATGGCCTGCGCGTTTCCCAGGGTCACTACCTTTGACAGCAGTACCTTGACGATTGCCTTGGCTACTTGCAGGACAACAACCCCCACGGTAGATTTGCCCACGCCAAAGTGGTTCGCGACTGACCGGTAGCTGTCCGGCGTTGCAAGCTTCCAGAGGGCTATGGCCACTCGCTTCTGGACAGTCAGGGCTGCTCGCATGCGGGTGTCCTTGCGCTTCAGGGCAGGGGACAGCAACTCACAAAGTTCGAGGAAAGTCCCCTTCCGCATGCGAAAGTTTCGCAGCCACTGGGATTCATCCCAGACCTGAAGCACTATGCGGTCCCACCAGTCCGTGCTTGTTTCCCGGGCCCAGAATCGCCGTTCAACAAAATCCACATGCCCCATTGCCACCGTGATGTCCTGGGCGCTGGGGCTTGTGGTTTCTGACAGCTCTGTGCTACTCTCCGACTTCAGGCCCTCACGGCGGTGCCGTAGCCTCCTCGCCTGATTTCTCTGCATCTGCCTCAGGGAAAGGTGTATGATAAGCTGCGAGGTGTTGAGAACGGCCACAACTGCAGCGATGGTCGCAGCGGGATCCATGATCGCAGTGCTGTGGCGTCCGCGCTGTCACTGATCAAAAAGTGCGCGAACTGATTTCCCGCCGGCGCTTTCAGGGAGGGAGGGAGGGAGGGAGGGCGGTAGTGACTGACGGATGACGACAGTTACCCAAAAGCACCCTCGCCACATTTTTTTACCCAGAAGGCATTGGCGGATCGACCCAGAATTCCAATGGGCGGCGGGGACTGCGGGAACTGTGGGATAGCTGCCCACAGTGCACTGCTTCCAATGTCGACGCTTTCCCTGGTAGTGTGGACTGACAAAGTCGAATTACTGTCCTTAGTGTAGACACATACGTTCGACTTTCTAATATCGATTGCACATATTCGATTTAACTAAAATCGAACTACTCTCGTAGTGTAGACATACCCTAAGTGACTTCGGATCTTAGTGCTGAGTGACTGATATTATACGGACAGCAGTTCCTCTCAGTGACAATATTTCCCACGTTTTTCTCTCCCCAAAAGCTGTAACAAGATTTGAATTGAACTATGAAAAGACTCTTGTGATTCATCTGTATAATTTTTGTTTTGGCAGGAGACACAGAGTGGAATTATTTTAATTGGAATACAGTCAAGAATAAAATGGCAAATTTTTCAGTTGTTCATGAGTTTAGTGCTATCTTATGTAAAGTGAAGGACTTCTGCAGCGTGCCGCTCAAGAACTCATAAATTTCCCATTGACTTTAATTTAAAATTAGTGTGTACCTGTTCCATGGGAGCAATTTATTTTTCAGTACACCTCATCATGGGTTCCACAAATAATGGTTCTAGCAATACAATTATGCAAAATATAGAAATTACATTTTCTTCTGAGCTGTAGCCTTTCAGTTACAGTTCAGCACAAACATAGTGTGCAATGGGATTCCATCTTTTCTCACTTTCCTGAAGGTGACTAAAATTGGCATTCACTGGAGTTCAAAGATGAGGGAAGAAATACAGTCATGCCATGAAGCAATTTCTTATCAGAGTCCATGTGGTTCTGTGCATCCCTTTAGATAACACATAACCCCTCTATTAAAGGGTGACTGTTTCAGAAAAGTGTGGGTCATAATGATTAAAAGTTGTGTTGGCCTGAAGTCCACAACTTGTAAGACCAATGATAAAATAACACTCCTGGAGTGATGGGACTATTGACTGATGTCAGGTCCATTGTCTTGCAAACCATTAGGGCGATAAAAATGAATGCAGTGCTGGATAGCTTGAAAATGTACCATTAATTACTTAGCTTACTAGGTCAAGATATCGAACTTCAAAATAACATGTTCTGAGTATCATCTTGCCTTTTCCCAGCAACCTCAATTTTGAACTGATTTTGGTGGCTGCTATCTCAAATTGTTTAAAACCAGAACCAATTCTTTATACCATCTAAAAGTCTGGAATCCCATCAGTCAAATGGTGTAAAGCATTAATCTGTAACTCAGCGTTTGAGACTCTTGCCTTCAACTTGTTGCAGAATTTAGTCAATATGTAGTGAATAATGAAAGTGCCCTTTTTCAGTGTGGGGATTGGATGTTATGCAGTGAAGACAAAGGGACCTCATATTGAACAATGAGGATAAAAAATAAATATTGAGCAAATGCTTTATTCACTGATCACCTTTCAGCCTTAATGATCTTTTAATGTAGTTTTTGTGTGAAATTCTTCTTCATTGGTATTCATAATAATCTTTCTACATTATGCCTGGACGGTGCATGAATTTTCATAGTGAAAACAAGAAAGGCTTTTAAAACTATCTTTTGCAGAGGTACAGTGCTTACATTTCAGCTGCTCCTTTAATCTAACATTCATATTATGATAACCATTGATGGTAGACAAGACTGTATGGTATTTTGGAGATTTTAATTACATTTTATTTTATTCCTATATTTCTGAATTGATGATAAATCAGTTTTTCAGTTCAGTATCTAAACATACTAATTTAAATGGCTAACATTTAAAAATATGCCGTTCAAGTACTTTTGTGTCTTTGACTGAAATGCGTTGTCTGATAGTGCTTTAAAATCATATTTGCCATGAATTTGGGATAATCACATTACCCACAAGTGTTTCCCCAAACAATTGCAATAAAATTTATATTTTATTTGGAATGAAATTTTGTGATGCTTTCCCCCCTTTTTCATGTATTTTAAATGGGAAAAGTCTTATAGAAATACTGCCATTGACACATAGGGTGGGAGCTAGTGACATTCGTAAGCGCAGTATAAAAAGTCATTTATATATATATATGGAGTTCAGAGTAGATGATAATGATAGTCTCTTCTGATCTTAAAGTCTATGAGTCTATATGTTTTTTGTGACAATTTTTCATCCATTGTAACACCCCTGTAGATTTTTTACAATTAAAACTAACTCAATTTAATAAATTGAAAAATTGAACACTGATTATCCTTCTCCTTTACTTTCAGTGCATTTTAAATTAACCAGAATGAACAAAAATGATACATTAGTCTATTGTAAGCCACCACAACATTTTGAAGAGAGGTTATAGATGCTCTGCAGCAATGCTTTATTGATTCAAAATAAACATTGATTTAACTTTCTGTTGACAAAGGGCTTGATTCTGGGAGTTTTGTGTGAGAAATGCTTGCAGAAGTTGGATCACAGTCATGATGCCTATTTTTTAAAAAGTAAACATTCTATTTTGGTCCACTACATTTGGCACAATAGTAAGGTAGAGGTAAAATTTTGTGTTTTTAATCTACTTGATATTGGATATAGTTACCTGCCTTACTGTACCAATCATTAATACCTGAGGCTTCAAAGGTAGCTTAACATTCTAATGTTGCTGCTTCCTTATACTTAATGAACATCAAAAACTTATGAAACAAGGAATAATAATGTAAATGTTCTTATTTTCATAAATAAATTTCCAGAAATGTTTTTCCTCTAATCAGTGGTCAGAGAATAAAGTTCACTAGAAGTACTTGTAAAGGGACTCTTGTGGAAGCAAGTTCTTGATTCGGTTGATGTCCTTCTTTTCGTAGGAGCACGGAAAAGAGGAGATTACTGTTATCAACCCTGCTGAGTTTCCTGATAAATCTTCAGTATCAGAATATTTGGAACCAACCGTTTTGGGGACTATCATAACACCCGATGAATATATTGGAAAAATCATAACTCTGTGTCAGGTTTGTATAGAATTTTAGTTTTGTGATTGCACTGTTAAATCACAAGTGGTATCTAGATACCACAGTGATGGGCACCATAGGAATGTTTAGTAATAATACTCTCAATAAAATCAAGATTTAAAATGGTCAGGTATGAATGACATCACTTTTCTGAATTATAAGGTCATCTAGAGAGGTAATATCTTTTATTGGACCAATTTCTGAAGAAGAGCTCTGTGTAGCTCGAAACTTTGTCTCTCTCACCATCAGAAGTTGGTGCAAAAAAGATACTACCTCACCCACTTTGCCTCTCTAATGTCCTGTGACCAACACGGCTACAACACTGCATACAAGATCATCCAGTGAAAGATAGCTGCTCAAGCTCAACCCCGGAGAGTCTTTTTGAACAATTGCTCCAGCTCCCAATAAAAGAGAGGGGGTTTTGCTAGTTTGTTTCACTACTAACGAGGGGAATCACCAATGGGAGATGCTGGTGGTATTAAGTACAGCATATGTAGGAGTAATTTAATGAAACATAATTTCTACCCATGGACCTGAAAAACAGTAGTTTCTCTTGCTTAACTTAGGGAGTTTTGCAGTTTCTTGTCTCTCTGACAAGTGTTGTAGATATGGTATGCTTTACCTGACTCTGCCATGTACAGATGTGGAACAAAGCAGGATGATATAAAGTCTAGTCATTGATTCAAATAATCCCATTCTGGTAGAAAACAGATTGTTTTAATTGATTACATCTGCAGTACACATTTTAAAAGCTTAATTCTTTACCCAAACACCTCCCCCTGTGCATTTGCAATATTTTACTTGATTTTTTTAAAAATATGGGTACATTAAAAATAAATAAATGCAGTATTTTATATGGTTTTGTATATACAAACTTTGTCACAAAATGCTCAGTAGTATACAAAATTACAGTATACATAATTCAGGACAATATACTACTATGTTTGTTACATTAATGCCCAAAGTATATATGGGATGAAGACATTGTATAGTAAAATAAATACATAAAAATAAAAGACTATTGAAAGGAGTTGGGCTCTGATCCTACAAGCCCCCCTGCATGGGTAGCTCTCCTGTGTCTAAGAACCTTAACTTTATTGGGGCTGCCTGTAGGTGTAAAGCTCACCCACGAAGAACTGCTTGCAAGATTAGGACATTAGGGAGCAGCAGCAGAAGCTCTTAAATTTTTCAGTGATGAGGCAAGAGGCATTAGGAAATATATGCATGGGAAGGATCTCTAGACCATTAGTCCAAAAATGGCCACTTCTTGAATTATGATGCTGTAATTCTCCATGAATTCTGGGAATCTAAACAAAACTAATTTTTTTTTTAAAAAAAGTACTCGAACTGTCTGATGGCTTGTTGCCAGAACCTCTCTGTGTAATAATAGCCCCATATTTGCCTGTTTGTTCTGTATTTGTGTTGTGAGATTTTTCTACTGAGGAGAGTTCATTCTTTTAAAGTGTCATATTTATTAGACTCGCAGGGCTGTTCAGAAGGACATGATGTACATTGATGAGCACAGGGTTATGCTGAAATATATCTTCCCACTGAATGAAATTGTGGTGGATTTTTATGATGCTCTGAAATCACTCTCTTCTGGATATGCTAGGTAATTTTTTTTCTTTTTCAAAATACAGTTTAAGAATTTTGGGTGAGATATTCAAAGGCACAAATGGGAAGTAAGTGTTCAACTCTCATTATCTTTAAACGCTGTATTCAGGGAAGCATATCCATGTGTAATAGCATTTCCTCAAGGAGTTTACAATGTAGATTAAACATAACAGAGAAAGGGATGACAGATGGTGGGGATGGGGATATGGCAAGGACAAGGGATACAACACTGAAGGATTGGATAAACTTACTGTTATGTTCATGTTTGATTAAAACAAATACATCTTTGCTCAGACTGCTACCAGAAAGCTTAAAAAAAGGGGTGGGTGGGAAGGTTACCAGTAGATGTTGAATGTTTCACCAAAAATAAGATTTTGTGAAATGTAAGAGATCTTGACTTGTCTGTCTGTTTATAATATTATATATGTGTGTGTGTGTGCTATGAATATTTTGCATACTTAGTGAGGGCAATGTATAACAATGTTAGAAATAAAATTATTAAAATCTAATGTTAATAAAATTCTACTAAAACAGCTTCTTTCGTAGAAGCTGTAGAACATTCCTGTGGAATAGGAAGATATTAAATCCATTTTGCAGATGAGCAAACTGAGGCATAGAGGCAAGGCCATACTGAACATCAGTGTCAGAAATGGGAATAGAACTGAAGAAACCTGACTTGTAGACTCCTGACATTCACTTTTCTTATATACCAGTTCTGAAATAGCAATGACTAAACGACACACACATTGTAGAGAGAAACCTTGTATAAGGTGGAAGTGCAGTAGCTTGCACCCATTTTGGGTACTGTGATCATTATTGGGAATGGAATTTCCTATTATCAATTCTTCATTAAGTTAGACTCAGACCTGCAGGCAGGGATTTGAAAATCCCAGCTTAATAAATCAGGTTATGTTATGAAAATCAGTGGCAGTCAGCTTAGAATCAGTTAACAAAATTTACTGTGATATATAACTATCCTCTTGCCAGCTGTACATTGTGCAAGTGTCCAGTGTACTGTAATGTGAGAACTAGCATTATCTACTTGTCAAAGGGACCCTTGACAATGTACTTCTATTCATTAGTTCTTCTTTCCAGTGTGAGAAGGAAACCTTTCAAAATGTTAATTTGTTAATACAAGTCTGAAACCCAGATGAAGGGGTATATTCTCAACTTTGTTCTGGGAATTAAGCAAATAATTTTCTGCACATTGAGATGAAATTTTGTTCCTTCAGGCAAAATAATCTTTACAGCTGGTAGCTATAAAAATATGCAGATACTCACCAGCAGCCTTTGGGAGTTTAGCTGAAAGGAATATGTTGCTAGATAGATGGGATTTAAGCCAACAAACACTGTGTTCCTCCTTTTATTGAAATATGATCTCAGGAGATTTGGTAGTAAGATGCATTATAATAATATATGGAGATATACTTATCTCATAGAACTGGAAGGGACCCTGAAAGGTCATCAAGTCCAGCCCCATGCCTTCACTAGCAGGACCAAGTACTGATTTTTGCCCCAGATCCCTAAGTGGCCCCCTCAAGGATTGAACTCTCAAGCCTGGGTTTAGCAGGCCAATGCTCAAACCACTGAGCTATCCCTCCTTCCCAAAACTGTGGAAGGAACAGGTGGCTTTGATACTGGTCTCATGATTTACTTTTTAATATCCACAATTGTGTTAGACACTTTACTGGCATAAGAATAACAGTTCCCCGCCTAAAAAGATTGCAGTTTAATCAAAGTTCATATAATTCAATGGGTAGCAAGAGAGAACTCTTTGATTTACAGTGACAGGATTGCAAGATTGGTGGTTCTGCATGTTGTTGTGAGGTTTTTGGTTTTGTTCTTAAATATATTTTATGAATATAGGATTATGACTGGGTGTTGGGTTTTTGTGTGTGTGTGTTGTGTGGCTGAACTGGTAGGGAGAAAGAAAACAGGGAATGAGAGAGGGTGGATAGAAAGAAAAATGAAGGGGAAGGAGAGCCAGAGGAGGATGGAGGGAGGTGATTAAAAAGGGGTGTGGTGGGGGGGGTGGAAGTGAAGGCGAGAGATGGGGAGAAGCATGATGGCTGTGGGGGGAGATAGAGGGAAAGAGAGAGGGAGGTCTGGCAGCAAATTGAGCATTGGAACCAGACAGGAGTAGGAGGAGAGCAACTGATTAGTCAAATGGAGTGCATATAAAAACCAGTTCAGAGTTTGTTTTGAGGTTTAGGATTCTCATGACATCAGAATGTATAAAGACTCTGCTGCAGCGACTTGGAGGGGAAGCTTCAAGAGCTGAGGCTTTAAGGTTGGTCTAAAGAAGCTCCTCACACTGCTGCCCTCATGTTGGCTTGGTGGGAAAGAATCTAGTATCCCTGAGTGGCTCCTAGAGAATCCAGTGGGGATGGTGGGTCCTGACTAACCCCTGCTGAGTAGCTAGAAGAAAGGGTGCTGTCTGCCTGTGTTTTAGAGCAAGCTTTTGCCCACAGTGTACTTATAATTCAGTTTTGGAGAGAGAACGGATTTACTAAAATACATTTAAAAATGGCAGTACCCCTCCTGTGATGAAAATCCAAGTGTTTTATTAAAATGTGTAATACAAAACAAATGCTAAAAGCCTAAAAGATTCCTGGAGTAGAGAATATAGTATCAATTACAAGGTTGAAGTTGACTTTTATTTTTTTCCCCCTTTAGTTTTGATTATGAAGATGCAGGATACCAGGCAGCAGACCTTGTCAAAATGGATATTCTTTTAAATGGAAACTCTGTTGAAGAATTGGGAACTGTTGTACACAAGTAAGTAGATTAACTGGAGAATCCCAATCAGTGAATGAAAAGGTTTCTTCTTTATATTTTCAGCATATATTGGCGAAAGAGCAATGAGGATTTCATCATGCAACCATCTTCAGGAATGATCTGCAAAGGAAGAGAGATGTTTTATAATTAGGAGAGAATTAAGAATCACATATTTGTGATTTTAGAAAGCGACTCAAATTGTTAACTAGAAAAACAGGAAGCAGAAGATGTTAAAAGGAGGACAGGGTGATTGCCTATAAGCAAAAGGTTCACATTAAGGAAAAAAGTGTTAACCATTTGAAGAGAGCTTAAAATAGGGCAAAGACTAAAAAGGGGGGGACAGATCTTGTGGAGAGGATTGTTGAAAATAAGGGAATCAAACTTACGAAAGGTAGACAATTGAAAGTTGTCAGTTGTTTCATGCTCCAGATTATGTCAATGCCATATACATTTAATATTATCTCAGTTTAATTCTGTAACGAGACATTAGATGCAACATTTTGAAGTTGCAGAGGAATGTATACATTGTAAAGTCAGGCATCCTGTTGCAACTTCCTGCAGTACATGATGTTTTGGTTGTGTTCCTCATGTTGAGTCTCTGTCCTGTTTTTAAGATAGTCTCTCTCACATTTGACCTTTTGTTGGTCTTGAGCTGTGAGGGGAGTAAATTGACCAATGAGACTTGGAAAATGAATAAGTTTGAAGGCCTCAAAGGTGAGAAGAGAGGTCACAGAATATTGGGAAAATAGGAGGTCACATATAGGGTAAACATTTAGAAAATGGAGGCCAAAACATCCCCATTATCTCAGAAAATAACATTTACTGTACTAAGTTCTATATTAATGAACCAGGTTTCTTAAATGTAGTTATGACAAGTTTCCAGATTTCTGCATTCCTCGGTGGAATCCTACCTTTCTATTTGCTGCTTTCATTTCTGATGGAGTCTTTATAACTTTCTACTTGTTCTTCCAACTACCATCTTTAGTAGTGTCCTTAATTTTCCTCTTCTTTTTTCCCCCCTCTTCCTTCCAGGATGTCTGAACTTTAATCTGCAGTTGCTGAAATTCATATTTACACTTTAGTTATTTTCTGTTATGACAAACTACAATCTTTCCTAAATTCTTTGATTTCTTAACTTCAGAGGGTCAGAATAACAAAGCCAAACTGTCTTGCTCCAGGAAGGTTGTTTCATTCATCCTTGCAATCAACTCTGATTTAATCTTCTGGCTTTCAGAATTTTCCATGGGTTCCCCTAGTCTCTCACATTAAACATATTCCTATTCATTTTCCCACTTGTTCACAATGTTCCTAAAAAAATGGCATTTTATCTCTCGTCTGCAACTCTTTATAGTTGATTATTGCTTTTAAACACGCACTTCTCTGTTTATTTGGGAACTCACTCCTGAACTACTTCCTTTCATCAGAACTAACCTTGAAATCATTGTTTCCGTTAGCCTAAAATTGACACTTAAATCCCACTCAGTATCATTTCCCCTTATCGCTGCATCTTTTCAGTCTCTCTCCGCACGCTGTAACTAGATTGCTTATATTATAATGGAAATGTTAGGTAACCTAAATACGGGGATTGCTACCAGCATCTCCTATCATAAATATACACACCCATCCACATCTTAAATATATATATTTATAGCGTTAAACTGCAGCTATTTATTTTACTGCATCTATCTATTGTACAGATAAAGGGAAGCCCAAATGTTGCCATTTACAGTATCAAACTCTAAAGCATATATTTTCAGCTACAAAATGCTATAAAATGTTTTGATACAGGATAATATAAAATTTTTCTTTGTTTTCAGACCATAACAAAACTGTCAACACGTACCTTTGTTTTCTAGCCTTTTTGGAGCTTTTCAGTGTAAATTTGCTATCTCTGTCATTTCATGCCTTCAAAATGTGAAATATGTGCTAATGCAGAATGCCTTTAGATAATGTCTACTAATAAGTTAAGAGAAACATTTAAAAATGTTTCTGAATGTAACTGTTTTGTGAGTAAATGTTTGAGAGAACTGTACTGACCTATTCAACCTCTAATAGATAAAAATTCCCCTCCCCTTATAAAAATCTAAGAAATAACTGCTGAAATTATAATATTCTTATAGCTATGTCTGGATTATGCCTCAATCCATAGAGGCAGCCCTTTTATTTCAGTTTATTAAACTCCTAGCCAAAGTTTGAGCTATACATTTTAAAAAAAAAGATGTACAAGCATGCCAATTGAAGTTTTCCACCTTGCCCCAAAAATGTGTTCCCCTTCAACACACTATCACCCACACTTCTTATCTTCCACAAATAAAATCCTCCCATCTCAAACCACTGAGACAAGTTAAATTTCTTCCAAACATACCCCCAGGCTAGCCAGACACATTCTCTTTGCTATAATGGCATTATTAACTTTTAATATCGAGTCCAGGGATTTGAGGAAGTCAAAAAAGGACCAGAATTCTCAATTTGTATACCTTACATCACAATGCTCTGAACTATACTAAACTTATTTGGATTAAGTATTCAGTATGATACATGTTTTATAACAGTCTACACATTTAATTACTGAAGATTATTTGAAAAGCGCTTTGTTAATGTAATCAAATTATCAGTTATCTTGTATGAACTGGTAGATTGCAGGTGCAATAGTCTTTCTCCTCACCTTGGATAGAGTATTATGCTATGATCAGAATATCTTTGATTTTAATAGGGAAATAGACCCTTTTTAGAAACAATACTTACTGTCTAGAAAACTGTTAATGATAATTCTCTTAAGTTTTTTCTCTCAGGCTGCATTATTCTCTCAGAAAACAATAGTAAATTTCCCTTTCAGAGACAAAGCATATGCTGTTGGCAAAGCCATGTGTGAACGTTTAAAAGATGCTATTCCTAGACAGTTGTTTGAAATAGCCATCCAGGCTGCTCTTGGCAGCAAAGTCATTGCAAGAGAAACGTAAGTTACATCTTTTTTTCCTGGCTTTAGCTATCTTTTTAAGATATTATGATGAGGAAATGTTTCTTATTTACCTAAATATTTTTAAAATTTGTCCCCGCAGCCATAAACAAACAGATTTTGTTGTAAAATCTAGCCTGTTTAGGGGGAAACAGCAGGAGGTACTGCCCCTCATTTGCAGCCAGTGGGAAAATTACTTGTGGTGGCCTACATTTTTCTCTCATTTATATAGTACTAGTCTCCCAAAATAAAACAAATATTTGATCTTCAAATTTCAATCTAATATTCTTTTGATGTCAATAAAGTTGAAGAAATAATTGACATATTGTAATTTTATTCTGTATAAAACCAGATAAGAAAATGTTTCTTAATGGATCAAGCACAGTAAATCACAAGAGTGTGATTTCTGGGACAGGTAGAATAGTCTCCCACCAACAAAATCAGGTCACTGTGCTGAGTACGTAGTGAACACTAGGACCCCGGGGACTGAGCCAAGGCAGTTGTTTCCACATACTCACTCCAAAGGAAGTCTAATGCAGGCTCTGCAAGCTAGCTGTTCCCTGCCAGCACCTACAGTACTCCCACTCCAAACCAACCATGGTTTCTTGGCGTGACCCCAGTGCAGTCCGCTTTTGTTGCTGCAAAGGACTGTGGGATTTGGGTAGTAGTAAGTAACCCTGGGTGGCTTTTGGGTCCCAAGTGGAAATAGATTGAGAACCACTACTGTAATATATGCTAAAATGTATGAATAGTAAGAACCATAGCACATACTTAATAAGCTAATCATACAGATGGTAGGGCATTGTCATCCATTCATTTGCAATAACACTGTGCCACCGGCTCCATTAGGTTCTATTTTTTGCTTAGTTACAGTATTGTAAACTTTTGAGTGTTAGTCAATTTGAAATAAGTCACAGGTAAGATCATTAACTAGAAAAGGGATTGTACTGTGCTAGCCTTTAATGGATGCTTCCAGAATTCAAAAATATCAGTTTGAGGCTTAGCCTCCTAGCTGACTTGGATTGGAGGATTTTAAAAGAAACACTCATGATCTGTATAACAATACCCAAGCATCCTAGAAAAACTACCTCAAAACATTTTTCCACCCATAGATTTGGGTTAGTACCGGCTACTTGGAATATATTAGGGCTCGTGTGTTGGAAATGTACTGACATATTGATGTATACAGATAGTAGATGGTATCTTCTCTCTTACAGAGTGAAAGCTTACAGAAAGAATGTTCTGGCAAAATGTGTAGGTATTTTTCAATTTGTGTGGGGGGGGGGGATTTCTGATATTTGAATATAGACACTTTCAGTGGCCCAGCTAGGGGGGTATGGTCCCTCTCCTTACTCTCCCATGTCCCTCTCCTTACCAGTTTCATTTTTGTACTTTGCTCTTCTCTGGCTCACTTGTCTCTCTCACGTTCAAGCTCCTGTTACAAGGTCCTCTTATTTATACAATTGTTATTTAGATTTTCATTCTAAAATACAATTTTTCCTTTGTATTCTGTTGTGTCTGCTTGCACTATATTTACACTGTGGTTTAGAGAAACTGACAGCTTTTTCAAAGCTGCACATCTACTATATACCTAAGAGTCTCAGATTCACTATCCCCCAGTCTTTCCCAAATGACTTGGGTGAGTGAGTTTCTCTGTAGAGACTGGTTGTGACTAGGCTTGACTTTGGCTTTTTCATTGCTCAACCAAGATAATACAGATTAAAGAATGTAGTGCTTAACTGTTCACAGAACTAGAGAGAATTACAGAAAAAATTGATTATGCTTGTCAGAGGTCTAAGGACACGATGAGTTACAGAAGAGCCCTTTACTTTCATTAGTCATGGTAGATATCAAACCAATATAGCCTCTCTTGACAGGCTTATGTGACAAATGAGATAATGGAAGAAACCAGCTCCTGCCTGTGTAAATGCCTAAATTACAGGTTGTTCACTGGCTCCTCTTCTCCCTCTTAAATATTGGTAATTTAGGATGAGTGGTGAGAGTTAGATTGACCTTAGGTTACATCTAATATAATTAGTCTTTTCAAAAACAGATGGCTAAATAGCTACTGATACAGGAACTCCTCACCTAACGTTGTAGTTATGTTCCTGAAAAATGCGACTTTAAGCGAAACGATGTTAAGTGAATCCAATTTCCCCATAAGAATTAATGTAAATGGGGGGGGAGGGGTTAGGTTCCAGGGAATTTTTTTCACCAGACAAAAGACTATATTATATATTATATAATCACACACACACACACATACAGTATAAGTTTTAAACAAACAATTTAATACTGGTACACAGTGATGATGATTGTGAAGCTTGGTTGAGGTGGAGGAGTTAGAGGGTGGGATATTTTCCAGGGAATGCCTCACTGCTAAATGAACTAGTAATTGACTGAGTCCTCAAGGGTTAACTCTCACACTCTAGGAGGCAGCAGGAAAGGAGGGAGGGCAGACAGAGAGAGACACCCTGTGTGTGAGAGAAAAAATGCGCATTTCCCCTTTAAGTAGCTGACCCCAGGCTTAAGTACACTGCCCTGTTAATTAAATCAGCTCCCTGAG